ATATATATATATATATATATATATATATATAAAGGAGAGAGGATAGCGCAAGAGTGATGAGCGAGTGACCGCGCGGTCCCGACATTCGCCTGCTGTTCACAAGGTTGACAGGATCTTCGCGCTAAAAAGTAGATCTTTGATTAACAAGCAATAACTTGAGTTTCCTGCATAGTAACATTTTAGCATAGTAGCATTTTGAGATATTTAATTAACAAGGATCAATTAAGTTGCCTGAAGATTATCCCTCCACATTGAGATATTTGACTTGAAAGGATCAGTTGAGTTTCCTGCATATTAACCCCACACATTTAGATATTTGATTAAAAAAGATTAGTTCAGTTGCTTGCATACTAATCCTGCAAATCTAGATATTTGATTGGCAAGGATCAGTTGAGTTATCAGCATATTACGCCTGCACATTGAAATCTTTGATGAGTAAGGATCAGTTGAGTTGCCTGCATATTAACCCTGCATATTGAGATATTTGACTGGAAAGGATCAGTTGAGTTGGCAGTATATTAACCCTGCGCATCGAGATCTTTCATAAGCAAGGATAAGTGGAGCTGCCCACCTGGATCTGCATCCAGCAGCCCACGTTGTCGCCGGCGAAGTCGGCGCGCACCACGTCCAGCATGTCGACGGGGAACGGGCGGAAGGTGACGGACTTCTCGTATTGGTCGTGCCACGTGCAGCGCAGCTTGCGCGCCTGGTCCCACACCTCCTGCACCTGCGGGTCGTACTGCACCACGATGATGTTCTCGAAGTAGGTGCCCGAGCCCGAGTCGGCGCCGTAGCCGTACAGCCCGTTCTCCGTGTTGCCGGCCGTGCCGCACGCGTGGATGCTGATCTCGAAGTTGGCCGACGTGCGGCCCAGCCCCGCCGGCAGGTGCACGCAGTTCACGTTGCTGTAGTGGCCCTTGCTGAACACGATGCCGTAGAAGGGCTTGTCGAAGCCCAGGTACACCTGCGACACACCACCACATCACTCGCCCTCCCTTCGTCCTAGGTCGCAACGAATTTACTGTTTCTTTTTCCAATGTTATATGTTTACCCTGTTCATTAGTAAATATTTAGCATCACTCTCTATAATATTTAGCATCACTCTCTATAATTACATACTTTTAAGAATTACGTTTTTCACTGAAGTTCCTATATTCAACTAGCAGGGCTACTAAATAAGCCTTGACACGAGAAAGTCATGATCCCTCTTATACGGTCTTACAAACTTTGTACACTTGGTAGATTTGAACGAGAGGTCACCCAAAATAATATGAACCCAAAAATGGCCATGAGTCTGCACAGAATGTTTGTGAAATAAGCCATGGATATTCGGTTACTACTCTTAACTGCTTTACAGACGATAGAAAATTCAAAAAATCCCCATATTTTTATCTGTATTTTTATTTTTGGGAATTTCTATAATTATAACCACTGCCAATATTGTAGGGCACGTTGGGATCCCGTTCTACAACCCGAGAAAACATAGATATGCCAATATGGAGAATGTTTTCGTTTCACATGATCTTGAGAAATTACAAGCCGCTTAAAGAGAATGGGTGCCTTGCAGGCCTTCGGTTAACGATAATATTCTTTAACTACGGACAAATAAAAGTAACTTTGCAAATAACCTTCTAACACCACAAGTTCTTAATGTTGAAGAAAATGATTGCATCGTAATTGTTCAGGCTCTGTGTGCGTGACTGTTCTGTGCGGTGGTTGGTGGACTGTACGCACTGGGTGTTACGCAATGGGCGGTGGGCG